CACTCATCTAAATAATTTCACTGCTGACAGAACAACTTGTTGGGATATGGGCTCAATCTTTGCATCATTGAACATGCTTTATGAATTGTTTTTTTCTTTAGGTAGAGCCTTAGTTGTAAAAATAGTTGGTCTCTTAGTAGGATTATCATAGTCTTTATGCAGGAAAAAATATGCAGTATGTTTGCCCATGTAGAATAGTTTCATAATCACTGTGCATCTCTTTTGCCAGGGATGCTAATATTTAACTTTCTATTTTGAATCTGGTTAGCATTTGGTCCAGAAAGAGAATCAAGGTAGAAGAAAATGAACTTAACGGGGACAAATGTCAAACCAGTGTATATCTACATGTAAAACAATTAGGTGAAACTGCAAAAATCAGGCCATGCAAATGACTGCAGCCGAAGGGCTGGAATTCTTTTGATCAAGTTGGGTAAACGCTTCAGTAACTCAGTACCTGCATAAGGAAACTTCTTGTACACCCAGGATGAAAGAGGGATGGAGTTCAGGCTGTTGCATAGCATGCTGTCCATTCCTGCAAGGAAGGTTTGTAGCTATGGGTGTTGCAGTACTGCTAGGGCAGAAATCACTCTTGGACCGGTCCCATGTCATTGCCCAGCAATTATAATCCTTGGTCATCTCTTCCAGGAGAGTGTCTGTCATGGCCTCCCCCAATGTTCAGATCTGGGCTGCCAGGATGGAAGGACATAGCGTCTAAGAAAAAGGCAGCTTGTGCCCAAGAACTGCTTAAAGAAGGCTCTCTAATAAAGCCTGAAGTCCTAGCACCTACATTCGATAAGTACCTACTGCTATGCGTAAGCACAGCATTCAGCTGAGATGTGAGCAACCCCATCTGTGGAAAGCAAAATATAGTAAAAGACATTAGACAGCATCAGCCAAAGTGCGTTTTTAAAGACTGTGTGTGTCAAAGTCAGTAACGAGGTTCAGAGTCCCAACAGAGCGCATAATCCAAAATGAGAAGCCATGTGAGCCAGGTATGAAAATATCACTTGGACATAAATGAATCTAGCATCTAGAAATGCTGTCCTGTATCATCTGAGCAGCAGTGTCCTTACCGGGCAAAAATTGTGTTTATTGGTAAAACTTCATGAATACTCTGTTGCAGGAAAGAGAAGTACTTACATGACATCTAGCTCCGCTGGGGATGAATCCAGCATAAAAAGTTAGGATATGCCCAAATGTACATCTGAACTGTTAAATGGCCTTCACAACACAGAGTCTTCTGCCAGGTCTGCCAAGGTGGTGGATTTCTATTTATCAATCGTGCAGTCTTTACAATGGCTACCCAAGGCTGGTGGCAGGATAGTGGCTGTGCTCCTATGTTTGACAGATTAAAAGGGCAATATAAACCTTCAACAGCTTGAAGTTACAGGTTTCATACAGCTTTAAGGCAGGAGCATGCTTATGACTGTTTCCTCTTTCAGAAAAGCTCTGTTGTGAGAGTCAGGTCTGCCTGCACCTGCAAAGATATGAAAGATATGAGTAAACCCTGTGAGAGCCTTACTCGGTCCTTCCATCATCACTCAGACCAGCTCAAGTCAAGAGTCCTGCAGAGAATGACATGAGTGGTTTTTATTGGCTGTAACATAACCACCACCATATTTGTCTGTTTTTCCAGATGAAGGTATACCTGACATTTGTTAAGGATAACTAACATTTCCCAGTTTTTCACTTATTTGATGATAAAAGCATTTAAAAATAACTTCAGACTGTTCAAAATATTATGCTCTACTAAGTAGAAGTTCCTCTGATATATATCAGGCATGAATGAGCCACCAGAATGACAGATTTTGGAAATGCAATGGAATCCATCCTGCACCAACTCAAGAGTGTAGGTCTATGTCCCTCAGAAATATTTGGTAGGGAAAGATACAGTTACTTCATCTTGCTTTCTCCACCATCCCCAAGCCAATTTTTTCTTGCTCCCATTTCCTGCTTTGCAGGGCTACTCTATGGATGCCAAAATTCCCTGCAAAACAGACGTTCATCTTGGTCACTGGCTGCCCAAATAATCTTCACCTTATGCTGCCTGTAGATCTGTCCAGAGGCATGAGTATACCTTAGCTTATGGCCGAAAAGATACCAGAAGTGTTGACAGGCCTGTGGGACAGCAAAAGTTGCTGTTTTGCTTAGGCTGTGGGAGGCTGTGCAGTGTATAATAGGTAGGCAAATAAAATTCAGAGGTTTGTTTATGATATAGATAAGCATCTGAACTGCCAAAATTGAGTCTAATTTTAAAGCTCCTTATACATTATGCAACTCTCCTCCTTTCAGTAAAATGCAAATTTACAATGGAAACCACCCTATTTCCTACGTGTATAATTTCCTTCTTTTGAGGAACAGGAGGGCAAAATGTTCCCTTCAAAGTCTGGTTCATTTTCTGAATCACTTGCCACATTCTTCTGCTCAATATTTGAATGTGTATCTCCAGGAGGTGGGTATGCAGTTTGCCTCAATCTTAATTTTGATCTCCCTGGTTTTACTCAAATTCTAACAGGGGGACAATTTTCAACTTCCTTCTCCTGTAGGAGATGCAGGATGTTCTTTTCAGTCTGAAAGGAAAGCAGGAGTGGTAGCCAGTGAAGAGGAAAGACATGCCCAGTCCTCCTTAAAGGGGTTCCTCTCCCCAGGTCCACAGAGCATGGCAAGGCCTTGTGCTTCAAGTCTCGTTCGTGGTCCTGAAATGTGCTGATGGGGGTTCTGGCTCCTCCTTGCACACCCATAATGTTAAATTGCCTCTACAACTCGGAATCAAGCTTGGGGTATGGGTTGCTGTATTTAGGCTGTGTTTTACAGCACATACCCATTATTAAATTTCCTGGTTTAGCTAACTTAGCGTCTTTGATAGAATCAATGTATGCATCCCCCCTTTGAAGATGAGATGCGTATCTGAGGTTAATACATGATGTCGAATTACACCAGTAACCACATGAGCAGAAGGAGCTGGGGAAGAGCCCAGAGAGGGAAATGAATCAAGACTGCAGAAGCTTGGGTCAGTTCTCTGATCTTTTCCAGCAACTTGCCGTGTGACCTTTGGGCAAACTACTTCACCTTCCCATTTTTCTGACTCCCATCCTCATCTTTTTTATTCCTTCTTATTGAGACTGTCAAAGTGCAAGGGCAAAAGCACACGCCTACCACGAGCAGTTTCAGTGTAAGCATTAACAGACGGCTTTAAAACAAGGAGGCAAATGCCTGGCCGGCGGCCTCCTGTTAGGTGTTTGTCAGCATGGTCTGCTGCAATCTGTGATCGGTGCATGAGGAGAGGCAACGCGCTCACCCAAACATCAACGGGATTTCTCAGACACCTGCAGAAGAGTGTGGTTGTAAAGACGTGTCCTAAGATGCACATTCATTAGTTTGCGTGGCCTTCATGGACTGGTATGTCTTTTGGTCAGCCTTGCTCCTGGGGAGGAGCTGGTGTGGCTTTGTGACGGGCCGTGTTTCTTCTTACTCTGCACAAGGGAACTAGCCCACTCATGGTCTTGCATGCTGGTAATTCTGATTGTAGATGTATTTCTTCTTTCCCTAATGTAATAAAATACCAAGCCATTCTCCTTCTCAAATTGAATTTCAGTTTTCTTTTGAGGTTTCTGCTGATACTAGGTTCTTATTTCTCCTGTTCCACCTCTTTAAGAAAGGAAATGAGATGATGGTCAAGTGGAAATTACAGGCCACAATGTCTCTGGAAATATTGCAGAGTGCGTTGACTAGAAAATTAGAATAAAAATTTCTTGCACTGATACCAAGCACTGTAAATCTTTAGTTCCAAAGAAATCTGTGTGAGTGGAGGATGCAAAGATGATTTTAGAAACAAACTTAGCTTCAATTGTGACATGTTACTGGGCATATTTGTGTTTTTTATCAACATGTCTTTGCTTCAGGATACAACTTACGATCCAGAAGTCTCTTGAAAAATTGATGTGTTTAGTAGCAGAGCGGGGAAAAAAAATCCACTCCAACAGGATGTTTTTTTTTTAAAAAAAAAGCTATTATCTAAAAACCTTATATCTAGAAAAATGAGGTAGGGGGCTTAACAGAACCCTGCAGGGTTGTCCTGTCTTTTCCCTCTTCCAGCTGACATGAAGAGCTGGTCTTCAGCCCTTGACACGTGGGTGCAGACAGCAGGTTGCTGGTGGAAGCTGCTGCTCCCCGCAGCTCCAGCAGCACTCGTTTATTTTTGGTGAGCGGATTTGCCCAGGGACGGCACAAAGGCAAGACGGGTGGGAGAAAAGAGTGCATTAAGCACCTCTGCCCAGATCCTGAACTGCATTTTGGAATTTGCTCTCTCCAGTGGCATGTCCTGTGGCTCGCTTTGTCCGGCGGTGCCGTTCGGCAAGCACTGTGCAGAAGAGACGGGGGAGGACAGGCTGGAGCTGAAGGGTGCGTGTTCCCCAGGAGAGGAGTTACAGGTGCTCAGAGCTGCCCCGCTCCCCAGGCTGTTGTCTCAGTGTGTGGGGAAAAGGCAATTAATGATCACCCCAGAGACCATGGCACTGGTGGAGAGTCGGTGGGGGGGGGGGCTGCAGGCCTGAGCTGAAGGAGCAGAAAGGCCAAGAGGTTAATTTTCGGGTTTTTTTTCTTTTTTTTTTTTTTTTTTTTTCTGCCTCCATGTGCAGCAGGGCAGCTCCCCCTGCGTGCGGGGCGAGCCCCACCGCCGGGGAGCGGGGGGCGGCGGGCTGGGGTGTCCCTGAGGGCCCGGCTGAGGAGAACCGTGAGGGGGAAGGAAGGGGCGGACGAGCGCGGGCGGGCAGCGTCGCGCCTCGGCCGCGGCTGAGGGTCCGGGGGGAGCGGGCGGGGACCGGCGGGCCCACCGCGGGCCGCGGGCGGGAGGCGGGAAGAAGCGGGAGGCGGCGCGCTGAGGGGCCGCCCGCCGCGGCGTGTGGGTGGCTCCGGGCGGCCGGGACCCAGCGACAGGCGGCGGGGTGGGAGGAGGCTGGCGGGGCGGAGGAGGAGGAGGAGGAGGAGGAGGAGGAGGGAGCGCGGCGGCGTTGCGGGCGTTATCAGCCGGTGCTGGACTATGGTGCGGCTCGGCGGGGGCTGAGGCGCCGGCAGCCCGTTCTCTCCCGCCCTGTGGGCTGACAGGCGGCGAGCCCTCAGCCGCACGTGTGGGATGTGAGAGCTGCCCTCGGCCGGGGGAGCATGAGCTGTGCCCAGGCCGGCATTGTCCAGGTACGAGGGGCTGCCTCCCGGCCCCGGCTGAGGGGAGGAGGAGGAGGATGGTGGTGGTGATGGCGGAGGGGGGTGGGAGGTGGTTCGGCGTTGCCTCCCCGCGGGGAAGTGCGAGGCGGGATGGGGCTGTCAGCCGCCGGGAAAAGGCCCTTTCCCGGGGCGGGTGTCGGGGTCGCGGGTGTGCGCTGTCATCCCGCGCCGGGCTGCGCGGCTCCCCGCCTTTGTGCCTCGGAGCCGGCCGGTCTGGGCGGGAGTGGGACACCCCCCCCAACCCCCCCAGACCCACGCGTGTCCGTGAGCGCTTCCGTGGGTGATAGCGGGGGGGGTGGGGGTGGCCGGGGTTGCAGGGTGTGTGTGTGTGGGGGGGGGTTGCTCTCCGTGGAGCGTATGGGCCCTGGTGGGTTACGGGCTGAGCCGCTGGCCTGTCGGCTGAATTTCACTAGCGAGCAAATAGTGTAGAATTACGACGAGCGGGGGGTGTGTGTGTGTGTGACATCATTTGGGGATGTGGGTGCGCGCAGGCGGTGGTGAAGGGTCCCGTGCTGAATTTTCGGTGGTTACGGCCCTTGCCTGTAAAAGAAGAAGCCCCCAGATTCAGTTCTTGGCTCCTTGACAATGCAGCAAAATTTAAAGCACAAACTGCCTCTTTTTCCCCTGCTCTGTTGCTGTCAGCCAATCTTGTGACTTCATATTTTGGTTATTACCTTGGGTTATTATGTAACTGAATTTCTACGTTAGCGATTAAATGAAATAACTTATTTATAAGTGTGTTAAGAGCATTGCCCCAGCCTGTAGCATTGTCAAATGCTGCTTTTCTCATTTCGCAGCCTGCATAGATAATAGGTTTGTACCGACACAGGTACATGCAATTCATTTTGTTGTCTCTTGCATCGCTTCCCTTGTGTTTCTCTGTAGTTGCAGAAGAAATTACTTGGCCTGGGTTTAGATTTTTGCATCCTGCTGTTTGGAGCTGCAGTAGTGCCTTTTTTTTTTTTTTTTCTTTTTTTTTTTTTTCCTTTTTTCTTTTTTTTTTATGCTGCACTCAGCAGAAGTGCGTAGTGAGACTGTACAACAGTCGGTCAGGCTGTGCTCCTGTCCCTGTATTTACCAGCGCTGCCGTCTGGTTTTGTGGGGCACGAAGCCCTGCCTGACCACAGCAGCAATGAGGGGCAGGCTGCTGCCGGGCCGGTGGTGCCACGGAGCAGGTGGGCAGCTGCGCCTTTCTGCTTAGTGCTCGTACGAGGATTGCAGTTATTACAGTAATTCATTTTAGCTTGGGGATTCATTTTGAAAATTTGGATTTTCTGCTAAGAAGGGATTATCATTTCTCTGTGTAGTACATGTGTTTTATGAAGAAGCGGAGTATGGTATGTATCCTGGCTGCTCTCTCTACTTCTTTTCTGTCTGTCTGAAACACCCATTTGGACAACACAGGTGCAATGTTGATTTTCACGCCGGAGCCAGCAGTAGATGAAAAAGCAGCGCACGCTTAGTCAACGCACAACACTCATCCTGCCGATGCAGTCTGTCTAGTACAGGGAGGGAAAAGAGTATCTGTCCTTCCGGAGGAAATGCTAGGTCTGTTTACTGGTTTGTTTTGGGAGGGTGAGCGGGGAGCTAGCTCAGAACAAAGAGTGGCTGGTGAGATGGCCAGCGCTGGTGAGGAGCGAGCGGTGTGCGAGTTGGTGGTGGGTGGCTTGTCGTATTGCTTGTGTGATACCTACGCTAACGTGTTGCTGACTTAACGTGACCCGAGCCTTTGACTTCTAACCTTTTTCGTATCAATCAGCAATTTCTCATCAGTTTATTCAATTGAAACCAGAGTGGGCCAGAGCATGAACTGACGCACTCAGTGACTTTATCAGGAACTATTAATATCGGAACGTGGTGGTGATTTATTTGAAAGAAAACTGTGTACATGTGCTCAGAGCATCCCAAAGAATTGATTCAAAATCCATATGCTCAGTATTTTAAAAGCATTCTAATAAATAACATGGTACTTCTTGTATTCCAATAAATAACTGGCTAAGACTTGTTAGTAAAGTGCATCTTTCTGTGGCTTTGTCTTGCATGTGCATGGCATGCGATCTAGCATTCTTGGTGATTGTGAGATAATCCCTGTGAAGCTTTGTGGCGTTTTGCACGTGCTAGGTCTGACGCTAAGCAGCGTTCGTTCAAGGTAGTGCGAAATCCTTCTCGCTGCCTCCTTTTGGAATGGTGGTCTTACAAACAGTGCAATCACTTGAATAAATAGCGTAAGTGGAATTTAGTTTATTAGCTGCTTTTTGAAATGCTTCAGAAGACGTGGTTGTGGCATAGTGGGGGGGGATTCAAGTTGCGAGGCTGCTGGTGTTGAATAGTTGGTGTTGGGCCAGGAGCTGCTCTAACAAAGCGGTTGGGTTACCTGTTTTTTAAAGTCGTTGGAAATCTGTCTTGTGGATGCAGGCGTTAAGGTTGTCCCTGTGGTTCCAACCCTGAAAGCTGCCTTTAAAAAAAATTTTAAAATCCCACAAGACAACCTCCCCATTCCCCCACCAGATAAGCACGTTGCAAAGTTCAGACAGAAGGGCTTCTTGTGATTAAAAAAAGTAATTACTCCAAAGTATCTTAGTTAATAATGATGGACTTTGCGCGAGAGTGTTACTCGTGTTCACAGTGACTTTCCATTCATTCTTTCAAAGTGTCTCTGGGGTCCTAAGTCTTACCTACTTAGTTTCCTCCAAACTTATGGGTACCCACAAGGTCTGGCTTCAGCATGCATAGACTGTAATCCTTGTGGGCCCCTGTAGACAGGGAGGAGAGCTCGAGCCTTATGCAAGTGCTCTGGCTTGCTCTCCCTCCTGTTCTGTAGAAGGGATGCTTGCCATCCTAAGCCAAAGCATCCAAATACACGCGTGGCTTCCACGAGTGGATCACACCTGCAACTGCCACAGCTTTCCAGCGTAACCAGGAACCGCCGGTGCACTGGGAGTCCCGGGCACCTCAGGTGCTGCCGGGAACACGTCGCTGTAGCGCGGCCATCTCCTCCAGAGGGGCTTGCAGGAGTAGCTGGAGGATGGTCCCGCTCACACCAGTTTGTGTATCTGCCTATTAGCACAAGAAGGAATTGCAACGCCCCCTTTTCTTCAGGATATCTGTTGTTTGTTTACACTCAGCGGCTTGCTGGGTTTTGGCAATAAGGAGATGAGTCAGTTTTGCTTCTGTTTAAGGCTTTTTTTACCCATTTCTCTTGTAATATTTCATGTGCTGTTGTGATTCTGCAATAGCTGAGTGGCACACGCTGCAGGGGTTTGGTTTAATTCCTTACAAGTACATTTCTATTGGCCTTTAGATATCATGAACGTTAATTCTAACAAAGTCTAAACCAGGCTAGCTCTTCCATACTTATGCGTTTCTGCTAAAGCACAGCAATCTTTTGGTTTCCACTGTTATTCTCAGGAGGCATGCAACACAGGAAAAATAAAAGTACATCCAGTAACAAAGGGCAGGCTGAGATGCCACCTACTCCAGTTGATGTTTTCCAGTTGAGATTTGAGGCCAGCAAGATGCTTAGAATTAATTAAGGAGAAATGGCAAGGTTCTTTGATGTAGGGAGCCCAGGATCATTTTTGTTACAGTTAATGAATGGTGGCTAGGCAGCTGTATAATGGGCTTGTGAGTCAGTCTTGGCCTTTTTTGATCAGCTGTACCATGGCTGGTGTATCCCATTGTCAGCTCTGAAGTAGGTTCTTCAGGCTGGGCTCCTTAGGAAGTGCTGGGACTGTCTCTTGGCAAGATGGTGCCCTCGTCTCAGTTGTATGTGGGTTCAGAGTACGGACCAGTAAGACTGGTCCAAGCTACAGGCAAAATAAGCAGCTGTGACGGGTGGAATACTGCTGGGGGCAAGAGGCTGGCTGTAGCTCCACAGCCTGCTTTGGCTTTGGAAAGAGGGAGAAGTTGGGGTGAAGCAGGGCAGATGCTGAGCCTGAAGCAGGCTTCCCCTGCTGCAGTACCTGTTGCAGCTCCTGTTTGTTCTCTCCCTCCGGTGGCAGCAGCAGCAACAGAAGCCTCAGCTCCTCAGGACCCTCCTCTCCCAACTCTCCACTTTATCATCTCACTCTCCTTTTCCATGAGTTAGGAGCTGCCTAAGCTTGATCCCAGCCCCTCATCCTTTTGTCTAGAACATTGCTTACAATGCAGGTAAACCTTGAGATGGCTTGGGGGCTGAGAGGCTGTGTGCGTGTGGAATTGGTACAGCAAGCTGTTCATTTTAGACCTTAAAAAAAGGGGGGAAACCCTGGTGCTCTTGTTTGAAATATCGATGTAAATGATCAGCACCGTGCTCCCCGGGGAATCGCGGCGCTCCATTGTATTGCAAAGTTCGTTGAGGACGCAGCAGCGCAGGCAGCATTCCCTTGCTGCAGAGCAGAAGGTCTGTGGGAGAGAGTGCGTGCACAGCAGTCAGGAAGGCTATTATTGAGACCTTCGCTGAGGTTTCATTTTATGCATGTAGCAAAACAGGCTCACTCTTTCACGCTTTCCAGATATTTTTATATTTCTCTGCAGATGCTTGTAGAACACCAACATTTGTTTGGTTTGAAGCCTGAATTAAAATTCCCAACCAATATCTAGAGGCAAAAGAAAAAAAAAAAAAAAAAAAAAAAAAGGCAAGTGTTTGTCCCAGAATTAAAATCCATTTAAATTTGAGAGTTGTTAACCCATGAAATAGTGATGCAGTATGGAATGTCTCTTGGACTGAATCACTTGTGTTTAAAATGGAACATGCTCTAAAAATAAATGGGTAATTGCTTCAGAGTAGTCAATATGGAATTTAAAGATGACTGACAGAGTGATTTGTCATCCATCTCCATAGCAGGAGTCATCTGGGAAGTCTGTGATGTTAAAGGCATTTGTTTCTATTAGCACCTTTTAAAGCAGTTTTGTTAATGAGCTCTTGAACACTAGGACTGAAATCTGTCATGTGGTATAATTAATTTTTCCATACCATAGGAAAATGTGTT